CTTAGCTGGTCCAACGCCTATTGCATCCTGAAGTGGCTCCAGGTTTGTGGCACTCGCGGTCATTACTCATTACTGAGCGAATCTTCAGACCTCCCCTGCATGTCCTCTCGAGTTGGTCCGACGCTGGGAGCTGAGCGTTTCAGCTTCGAATCCCCGCGAAAATTTCACTCTTCTCTCCCTCTCCCAGTGACCGCGCGAGACCTTGGAGGCGAGCAATAACGTACGAGTCCGATGGAGTTCACCGTCGACGGGGCACCCTTGATGTAAGCTATGGGTTGGAGGTTAAGGGGTACCCACCCCGGCCAAGAAATTGGATCTCGGGCTTCACCTACTACAGCTAGTGGTTGGCCTTCTGATACGGCGAGACTGTAATCAATCTGGTGGAATGAATTCGGATACTGAGTTTGACTGCAAAAGATTCATGGTACATCAGGCAGGACGTCACCACCTCTCTGCGCCCTATTGTATGTTTCGCGAGCGACACTCAATCTGTTGCCTCGGTCAATGACTGGCGTTCACCATTGGTCGGGATACCGTTACGCACCTCCGCATCTCGAGCTTATCTACCTTCCTCTCCTCCCTCTCCCTCTTCCAGCTCACCAACAGGCACCCCAAAGACCCGCAGGTACGCCCGGTTGAAGATTTCGCGGGCACGGGGACTGATGCGACTGTCAATCTGCGGTCGACTACTATGTAAGTCATAGGAATGAACGAATAGAAGCCCGCTACGCACCTCCGCCAGCCGGGCCTGTCTAGCTTCCTCTCCCTGGTCCTCGTGCTGCTCCTCCTCCACATCAGCTACAGTCTCAACGATAGGCTCCGTCCCCGTGACTTGCCGACCCTCCCCTCCCGCTCTCTGATCACCCCTCGGCATCGCATTAACCTCCGCCAACGCCTGCTGGAAGATGTCACGCCCTTGTGCGACTGCGCGAACAATAGCCTGAATCCCCCGTGGCGAATTGAGTCCTATAGAAGGGATCCATGTACAGAACGCATCTACTCACTTCGGTGTCCGGGCGCTGGCTGCCCCTCAACCACGGCGGCACCGCGTTCCAGACCTCCCGTGCCATGTTCTCCATCTGCAAACCCGTCCAGTGGGATTAGGGGAGACAGAAGGACAAGAGAAGAAAAAGAAGAAAGGGATGGCGGCATTGGGACGCACCTCGGCATCCTGAGCTTGCGCACCCTCCTCTCTATCCCCCAATTCCGCCTCAATCGCGTTCCAATCGTCCCTTGCGAGATCCTCCATCTGAAAACCCGTCAAGTTTGGACTAAGGGGAAGGAAAAGCGACGCCTGCGTGGAACGCACCTCGGCATCTTGAGCTTGTCTACCCTCGTCTCTCTCCCTCAACTCCGCCTCAATTGCGTTCCAGTCTTCCCGTGCGATATTCTCAATCTGCAAGGATGATCAGAGAATGAAAAGTGACGCCGGCATTGGGACGCACCTCGGCATCGGTCGTTTGCCTAGCTTCCTCTCCCTCAGGCTGTTGCTCCCCGTTCTCGTGACCGTTCTCCTGCTCGTCCTCCACAATAGTGACAGTTTCATCCATGGGCGTCCACATCTCCGTCTCCGTCAGCGTCTCGGGCTGCGACTGCTGCGAGAAATGTATAGAGAAGGGGTCGATATATGCAGGGTGTATCTCCGGCGATGGCGTGGGAGTGAAATCTGCGTAAAAGACGGGCGGTGGGGAAGGAGAGGTTGGGTGTCGAGCGCGTGCACGAGGGTGGGGAAGGACGGGTGACTCTGTGACTGGGACCACGGCAGGTTCAGATTCAAGGTGTGGCTCCACTACCGCTGCGACTTCTGGCTGTGGCGGTGGTGACGAGGACATCGGTGGAGGAGACGGAGGCGCGAATTGGGGTACAGGTACGGGAGGCACGTAAGGAGAAATTGGGGGAGAGACGGCAGACGGGAGGATGGTGTAGTAGTTCTTGCCGCTGCGCGATTTTTGGTGTGCGGGACACGGAGTGGAAAGTGCGCCAAGTGTGTTGCCACTACTCATGTCCAGAGTGAGTGAGTGTTATTGTGCCAAAAAAAACTCACCAATAAGTGCACCCAATCCCCGTCCGAGTGCAGCCGCACCTCTTCCGTCCCAAGTCCAACGCGTCTCTCGTCTCTGCAGGAAAATACCGGTCTTCGAGGGGCACGATGGGTGTCACGGATGGCCACCTCGTCTCGGCTGCGCGCCACATCTGCCCCGGTGAGACGATGGCACCATAGTGGACGATGACACCGCATCCAGTCGTCTGCTTTCGTTTTCGCGACGGAGGCGAGTTAGGGGTGTCCTTGGTAGGTATTGGCAAGAACGGGGGCTGAGGAGGAGAGGCATAGGAGCGGATTTCCACTGAATCGGCGCCGCAAGTGAGCTGTGTCTGGGGTTGCATCCATCTGGACATGGGTGATGGAGAAGAAAAAGTACTGACGGTCACACGTCAGTCACCCATCATGATCGGCCGCCATGGCCGAAGTTAGTTCCATGCATTGACCACTCGGCCACCCCCGACTCGAAGTCAATGCCCCCACGAGTAGAACGGAGACGAAATAATGTGATTACCTGGACATTCTAACTTCCGAAGGCCACAATCCAGTCCAATCCGTTGCAACTTACAACTCAACAACGACTGTGATCAATTCCTTGGCCACTCCATTCGTAAATTAATTTAACCTGGCAACAAAGCCACAGCGGTTTGAATGCCACTGATGGTAGTGTAACCCATCTCAAGACTCTGCTTAGACTGTGCATTTGCGGTCGAGATCGTAGGTCCAACACCACGGTCCAGAAAGAGTGATATGGCTTCAATCAAGAAGAGGATGTCGCCGGCGACGGTGAGTACCTGCAGCAGCGCAGCTGTGTAAGCCTTTTCTTCTCGAGCCGTAGAAGAACGGTGTACCTTGCTCATATCGGTGATGACGCCGGCCTCGGGGCCAACCCTCGACACGGGGGCAGTCGCAAACGCCTCGTTCAATTTATTCATCAACGGGGCGACCGAGGTCATATTGGTGCCGTTGGCCGCCGCCTCTGGTCCATCATGATCAGAAACACTGTGGAGAGAAAGGGATACCGCAGTCGACGCACGGAGTTTCGGAATCATGGCATTCATCTTGAGCAATAAGTCACTTGCGTCTTCCTGAATGCCCGCGAGGGCCTCGCTGCGACCGGTGATGGTCACGGCGGGGGTCGCAGCCGCAAGAGATGCGGACACGATGAACAGGGATATTGCTCGGAGGAAGTGCATCGGAGATTCTGATTCTGGGCAGTTTCGCCAGAGCTCGAGGCCCTTATATACACCAGAGAGTCCTACTGCTCGCTTCAATGGTTGGATTCGTCACAAATAAACGTCCGTTGCGAGCGAAACGGAAGGTAAATTTAAATTGCCAGTCTTCCACCGCGGATTCGCGCAATATCGCTTGGATTCCCCAGAAGAGAAAGTATGGAAACACTCGGCTCCGCACGAATCAACACCTAACCCTGGCCTCCCACTCCCACTTGTCCGTCCCATTCAACTCGACAACTCCCCACCCCTCAATGTCATCCCGATACGAGCGCCACATCCACCCGATATTCTTGAGCTTGAAGTAATCCTCACAATGTCCGTCCAGAAGGTCCCAATATGCTTTTTCCGAGGCGACGCTTGCTACGACTGCGGGACTGTTCGGCGCAAACTCGTCTTCGTTGCTCGGCCAGCCGGTCTACATACAACATTAGGGAGAAGACCAAGGAGGAAAGGTAATCTCACCTGCGTAACAAGCAACGGCCTCCCCCCCGCAAGTCCCTCAAAATACTCCAAATCCGCCAAGAAATTCGTCCAAGTCGAAGGATCCCCACCCGCCTCTGCGTTCTGCGCAAAATACGGGAATTCATTGATCATGAAAAAGTCGAGCTGGGACGCCAAGTCTGTTATGTTCCCGCTGGAGCTCTGCCACCCGTAGGCGAGTTCAGAGATGGATATGGGGATGGTGAGGCCGGCAGAGGTGAAGTTGGCGCGCATGGAGGTGACGTAGGATGCCAGGGCCGAGGGGCTGCCGGCGTCGTTGTCGTACAACGGTTCGTCTCCTATGGATCAATGAGTTTGACGAGGGTATTCAGGAGATTCTCATTCACCGACGGCGACAGCAAGTACGGGCCCGGGGTTGCGGATTACCGCCTCGGTCACAGCCAGTATACGCGGAACGGATTTGATGAGGAAGGTATCTTGTAAGTATTAGTTCCTGCTAGGCAATTGCAATCACGTAAAGACAAACCATTAGCTGTGTAGTTCTGGTTTATAACATGGATCGGTAACGTCCACGCGAGTGGGATAACGAACATCTCCGCCCGCTCTGCCGCGAGGATGACATCTTGAAGTCAAACAACATCTTCAGCGGCCTGCGTAAAGTGAATTTGAGAGGACAGACCATCGTAGTACCCCACATCAGCCCCATCTTCACAAAAATCAAACGTGATGACGGTCCGCGCGCCGCGACTCTTCATCCGAGTGAAATCCCGTGTCATCTCTTCCTGAGATTGACATGCCTGGTGGGTTGAGCAGAGGAGCTGCTGAGAAGGAGGGGGAACTACCGTGATGGAGTAGACGAAGCCCTCCCAAGCGTACATGGACCGAATCTGGTCGAGGCGACTGCCGTTGCGGTAGGGATATGCTGATGCCGAGGATACAATGCCCGCGAGGAGTCCCAGAGCGAGGAGAGCTAAGGAAGGCATGGTGGAGGAGAGAGAGAAGGAACGAAGCGGAGCCGAGCATGTGGACTCTAGATCAGAAGCACGAGTCTGCTGATCACAAAATATTTTTGGGTGGTGGGTATGCATTACAGAGAGACGACAAGGTCGTTTGAACACAGACATTCGAATGGGTGGCGCTGGTAGCCTGTACACCAGCGCTATGCCGATATGTGCGGACTTATTTTTTCTGTGCCTAAGCGCTGGAGCAAAATTCAAACCAACTGTGCCTGCCCTCTGCCTACGTTGCAAGGCCTGATTCCCCCAGCTCGGCACTGTTGCAGTTCCGATGTGGTGTATCGGTAACATATCCGCCTCTCATTAAAGCAATAGCATCTCATGACGCGGTTGCGCGGGGTTCGATTCCCCGCATCGGAATCACTCTGAGCAAAACTCTTTGTTCAAACCTTTTTGTACTTGGATCTTTTGGCAGCTATACCTTCCTCTCTGCTCTCTTATTCAAGCTCCCGAAGGTGCCACACACCGGGCAGCCGAGCGAACTGATGATTCCGATCACCGCGCAGCGACGCCGTTGGTCTCGCATGTATTGCGCTCCATGTAGCCTGGCAGCATGACAATGATCACCATGAAACGGCCGTCGGCGACGCACCATGTGCATGAAGGCCTATGAAGGTGCGTGAAACAGGAGCGTGGTGAACGTGCGGCGAGTCCCAGAGCAGACCGTAGAGTATCAGTGAGGCTATCAAGGCCCGCACACACCGGAGTACTAAACAAAGCATGTCTTGAGCTTTGACGACCAGTTTGAGTAACAGACCAAAAACAGACTAAAGAAAAGGTAAGTGCGTGAACCCGGGCTAACTGCCCAATGAAATCGTAGGATGAGGCCGAGCGCTTGGGGAAGGGATTCGGGAGCTTCAAGAAAGCACTAGAGACAAATCATACAGGAATGGGTGGTAGGGTGGGATGGTCCATGGACTCCGATGGAGGCGAGGCGATGCCAGAGGGAGATGAGGGGAGATGACAAGCGGTGATGCGGGTGTTGATTGATCAACAGTGAGCCAAGCACTTCACGGCAGTCATTTTAGACCACTGGACAAATCACGGGGACAGTAACCTCGTGCAGCTCGAGCGAGAAGAAATTGTATCAAAACTAATTTAACTGTTTGTGGTGCAATGTCCTCAGAATCCACGCCCGATGAAGAGCGATTGAGATGCCGTGATGACCAGACATCTTGCAATTCTGCTGTTGGCTCGTCGGCACCGTTGCCGCATGGCGTGCTATGAATCAGACAGTGAGCAGAGTGAATGTTCACCACCCGGCTCCGAGACGATGGCATCACGGGCTGATGTGCCGAGCGCTCCGGCAGCAATGGCTCGTTGGTATCGAATCGATTTTTTAGAGAGTTTACATATTCATTATAATCGCGCAACAGATTATGATTACTACCCAACCAATACTTTTGCATCACTTCGCAGCTACGACTGGGACAAAGCCAGAGCGACTGTAGTCGCAGTGGCTGCCCCAACAAGGTATCCAATAGGTTGATTTTGCCGCTTCTGCATTCTCGGTCATCAGACATTCTCCATTGGACGCATAAAAAAATCACTCACCAGCGGCGGCGCTCTCCATCCACGAGGATGAGCTGGACCGTCGAACATCTCCACAACGCATCCGCGGTGTATGAGAGAAATCGGTGCCATGTCATGAGTTCCCCTGACGGGAGCCCATCTGCGAGCGGGTCCATCGAAGACCAATGGCGCGGGGAGGGACGTCACAAACGCAGCCGTCCGGGGCGGGGCGATATATTTTTTTGGAGAAAGATGAGTCGACGTCGGCGCCGACTGCCAATTCCTCCGCACGAGTGGTGTGTCAAAGATGTCCGACATCGGGGGCAACGTGCGTGCGGGCACGGAAAATGGGATTGGCGGTGAGAGTGAAGGTGGCATCTCCAGAGCAACGGCGCGCGTTATAGAGGAGGAGTGAATATTACGAAGGGCGTGGTGGGCGGAGGCACCGAGTCGGACGAGTGTAGGTTGGGACATTGGTCCTTCGTCTTTCAGGGTGGGGCATAACTGACTTGCGTTTAACCATCGACGTCTCTTTTATTGAGCACTGGCCACGGGTTCGGCGTGAATTAAAATCCGTCTGTCAGCCATGGACCCAGAGTCCAGGGGAAGTCGAGAGGGTCCTCTGCGTTCGACCCCAAATAGACTGACGTTGTCCCGTTATGTCCACGCTGAATGTCCACGTCGGTCAAAGCTGTTAAGACGAATCAGTCAGGTGAAGCCCCACTTGGTGGGAGAACCCTCCGAGTGCATTGGTAATTTGACCTCCCTGCGCATGTGGTCTCCCCCTAAACAGACTGATGTTCTTCCCGCTACTCCTACCTCGTGCTCATAGTGAACCCAGGCACTAGCTACCCAGTCAAGGTCCGCTGTAATGTCCGTCTACCTCCGTGGACGGTACGGTCCGAAATAGACAAGAAATAGACAGACATCTGCAGGGATCTGCAGTTGGGGCCCCGGCATTGGGGGCGTCGGGGTTTCGAATAAGTATACCACCTATTTTCAACCGCGGCCGAACCCGCTGATGCTAGCTAGGCTGCCACGACGTCCACCGTCGGCATACATCTGTCCACCGCCGTTCTTCAAGTGATATGTCCACCCGCACGGCACATACCCGGGCGGCGTCGATGCCCATCTGCTGTCCACCGGGGGTCGGAACGCAGAGTGCGTCAGACACGGATCTAAAATGGGAGTAGACGCTCAGCGCCAAAAGAAAGGAGTCGACTGGCCGGAGGGCTGTGAGCGAGAATGAAACAAAAAACAGCTCCGAGTAATCCGCATGTCGTCTACCGGAATCGAACCCAGTCGTGCAAGAGACATGCACCACAGAGGGTGAGCGACTTTGAGTGAGAGGCCAGTCCGATGAGCGCCTGTGATATTGTCTTGCATCACCCAAAAAGGCACAGTCAACAATGTCGACCCGGGCCGTAAAGAATGGCATCACGGATTGATCAGCCGATCTGATGAATTACCCGCTGAGGGTCTGAGTAACACCGGGGGCAAAGTCCGACACATGTTGTTTTGACATGCCTCGTTCGCATGTCTCGACGCATGTTCCGACGCATGTGCTGAAAGTACAAGGGCAGTTCGAGGGCGGTCACATACAAACCTTCAGGAAGGCCGCAGTGATCCGGAATTCAGGAATGATGATTTGCAATCAACCATCAATAACTTCAGAATTCGAGCTCGGGTGGAAGCCTGCTGACAGCAGGAAACACTGAGAAGCCAAGACACACCGAGATCAACAGAACTACGGTATATTCGGAGACGACGGGCGGGTAGCGCGTACGACGGAGACGACGACAAGAGGGTAAACGACAAGAGAAGACTGTGTATGTAAGCGACCATGTGATCTGTAAGCCGACGGGTTTACATCGGGGAAGCATTGGCTGGTGAAATGTAGGCTTGTGTACGGGTGGCATTTAACAGATTCCTCAAAGCTGGACTTCTTGTGGGCTTCTCATGCTGCGACAGGCGAGAGTTCATTCTTTTTAACAATGATTGGGTGGAACTGTTACTCAGGAAATGTCCACGTGTTGCTTCAATGTTCAACTTTGGGCCCATCTCCCACCAGAAACCGACAGTTTCACTCCGGCATGGCAGTATTCTTGTGAGCGAATTCAACAGTATCATCAAAGACAAAGCCGATGCATGCCCACGGCCGGCTGATTGCACGGACTAGCCACTCGTCACATTCATCTTTGATTCAGGCTGAACCAATTGGGAACAAGGAATTGCCCGGGAGATCTCAAAGACGACATGTGTCGACACATGCGAACGAGGCATGTCGTTTTGATATGCGTCGGACTTTGCCCCCGGTGTAAGCACGGTGGTCAGTTTTTGTTGATTAAGAGCGAGCAGATTGAATTATTGAGAGAGATTAGTACAGGTTTTTTCATACTACAAGGAATGTGCACGGACCAAGTGCCTTCAGTTGAAACTTGAGCTTGAGGGACATACGCGGCGCTGTCGGCGCGACTGCATCAATTATTGATGGATGATTTGATCGCCGAATGAGAATACAACACAGTACACAAGGATTATCTACCCAACCAATACTCATCTAAACATCTATGTACCGTACCTCTACGAGTGAGAGACGCCCAGAGCAAACGTAGCCGCAGTCGCCGCACCAACCAGATATCCCATATTCGTAGGTGTCTGCTTTCGCCTCTGCCGAGTCGTCAGACACGCTGGATCGATCATACGCACGCAACATGAGAAAATCGACTCACATGTTGACGAGTACCAGAAAGCGGCTCTCTGCGTCCACCAGAATGCGCTGGACCATCAAACATCGTAACGACGCCGGAGCCTGCAAACGACGCGAGCTCATGATGACTTCGTCGGATAGGACGCCGACCAGCGGGGCCTTCGAATACCAACGGCGTGGGGAGGGATGTCACAACGCTGGCAGCAGGTGAGGAGGCAGTGACATTTCGGGGAGGCGCCGGCGTCATTGTTAGCTTCGTCTCCCTCCTCCGTACAAGTCGATGTGGTACGTCGAAGATGTCCAACATCGGCGGCAAGGTCACGGCGGGGATGGATAGTGGGATCGGTAGGGGTGGGATCGCTAGAGCGGCTGCGCGTGTGGCAGACGAGGAGTGAATAGCCATAGTATTGCGAAGTGCGTGCTGTGCTCCGACGCGGGCGGGTTGGGACATCTTTAGTCCTGGGGTAAATTCTGGTGAATCGTATCGTAAGGCTCTGCTCTTCCGACCTTTTATCCTTGAGCAACCGGTGTGAATTAAAGCCCGTCTGTGTGCCAAGCACCGATGGCCAGGGGTAGTCGATAATAGCTTTCATCCATCTCGAACGCGTGAATGGAAGAATCAGGCATTCGAAGACCGATTTTTAGCGTTCTCCTCGCCAAGTCCCTTGGCAACCTCTCCTGAAATGCGGTGATAAAGCGGCGAGTTGACGTTTAGCGCCGCCGGTAACGATTTGGAGATGAGTCCCGAATGCCGCCAAGAGACTCTGAGAGAAGGAGAGATTAGAAAAGAAGGTCTTCGGGCGGCGGGAGCCCTGTAGGTTAAAAAGGATCAAAGGTCCAACGCGCCAACCCATGTGGTTGGTCGGAGTTGAACCGAGACAGACCGGCACCACAGAACGACTTCGACCCAGAGTTAACCGACAGCCGTACAATTACTGGCCAGGACGGATCTGGAGTTCACGCGTTCACGTCCAACGTACCTGACTGACAACGTGAACTCTCAATCTCCGCACGAATAACTAGAACCACCAAATACATCTTGGCAAAGCCCCTTACTGCGTCGGGAGTTTGATTCAAAGCGAGCAACTCTCACCACGCAGACGGCCGGAATCGAGCCGGGATGGGATGCTATACCCAC